TGTGATATATATATATATATATATATATATATATACGTGGCAGAATCCACTTCCATAGAAATTTCATTTTTGCCCTCTCTCTGTTCAACTCCGTGTCGCGCTTGTTTATCCTAAGCGAGGTTATCCCCATTAAGTTGGAAACGTCTCGATCGAAGATGTATTTTCAACGAGCGAGTTCTATATTCGCCGAGTTCAACGAGTGTAAGAACGAGCGTGCCTGTGTAACACACGCGTTGAAACATCGCATAGAACACCCACATGACTCGATGCGACACGTGTGTATCGCGGAGGAAATAATACACGGCATGTGCGGTCGTTCCGGTCATTTTTTTTTCTTCTTTTTCTTTTTTTTTTTATTTAACGTTGCATTCAACGAATGCATTTCTACGCCACCGAAACGATTACTTTCCTTGTCCTTCCTTTTCTCCTTCCTTTTTTTTTGGTGTCTCTCCTCTTTCTCTTTACTTTGCTCGATTGATCCGCAAAAACTCTTTGATTATTTGTCGCGTTTGTAGTTCGGCGAGAGAGCAAGGCATATATTTACTCTGTAATAAAACGTGCTTCCTCCGTAAGCGGGTACGAGAAAAAGAAAAAAAAAGTCTGGCATCAAATATTTTGTCCTACGTCGCGCGTAACGAACTATACGTAAATATACGATCAAGCTTATTCTCGAAATACGTGTGCATCGCGTCGTTTGATGGAGAGAGAAAGAGAGAGAGAGAATGCGTGAGAGAGAGAGAGAGAGAGAGAGAGAGAGAACGAGAGAAAGAAAGAAACGAGAGATAGAGAAACTGTGCTCGAACGTGCCTCGCCCTCCACTATATACGAACGTATATACTTTTGTGCGTATACAGTAGACGCGCATCGGATAAAAGCTCGATTCACATTCGACGGGCAACGAGGGATGGGGAGAGGAAACGGGCGAGAAAGAGAAGGGCGGTAAAGATAAGAGGGCACAAAGTATGCCACTTTCGATGCGACAGACCGTGGGTCCCCTGCGAGACGTCGTTCGAAATTAAACTAAATTGCCCGTGGATTTTCACGAGACACAACGGCAGGGACACAACAGCGTGCGCCCGATTACTCTCCTCCTGGTTGTCCGTTCACTGTGAATCAGCCGACGAAGAATGGCGTGTGCACGCACCACGGCGCGGCGTAAACGCGTGCGTACACCTTCTCAACATAGTTCACTACTATTAACTCGGCCTTAAACAAAATGACGTAAACTGCCTCAAATAATTAATATATTAAACGAGCTAGCGCGCCCTCGACTTACACTTTGACTGAATGAAAAAAAAAAAAAAAACTAGCTAAATCTTGTGTAATAATTATATAGTATTAAAAGGGATCGCGATAAGTTAGTGGATCGCGGCGAAGAGTTAGAGTTACGCGAATGCGAGTCCGCCGGCGAAACAATAAAAGCGAGCGAAACGAAAAACGGGGTTACATAGATAACGATCGATCGGAGAGAGAAACGTTGTGTATAACGTTGTGCGTTGAGCAGAAAGAGAGGAGCGACAGGGAGAAAGGAAGAAGGGCAAAGTAGGCGTGTAGCGGCGCATTCTTGAACGAAAACTACATATTCTCACGTTGTCAGCAGCCGTATAAAATGATGCATGAGCGAGTGGATCATAGGAGGAAAATGTTCGGAACGTATCGATCCAACTTAATTACGTTAACTCCTCGTTTATCGCCATAAACGTTTATCGAAGAAAGAAAGGAGAAACGGTTCTTTCCGTTCCTCGCCGTGAATCGTAAGGACGTGCGATGTATGCAACAGATAAACGAAGCAACACGCTTAGCGCGTACCGTGGTCGAGTAATGAGAGGGGCAGGAAAAAAGGAACGATGGAAGGGTAGGAATACCGGCAGGAGGAACAGGAGGGAGGGAGGGAGATACGGGGGATCGTCGAGACCGCGACGAAACGAACGATGAGATCTCGTTGCGGACGAGAAAAGATGGTTCGGATAAGCGAGGAGGAGAGCGTTGAAAAAGTGGAAAAGACTATAATGAAAAGGAAGAATACGGGAAAAGTACGCGCTCGAAAGAGACATATTTAGTTTTGGTATTCTAGGATGGCTAAGGGGAGAAAAACTTGAGCCAAGACGATTAGGAGAGGATTGTGATTGAAAAAAAGAAAAATTGTAACTGATGGATTGTAAAGAAGCGGAGCATCTCGTTTGTCGAGATCCATCCTGTCCTCTCGGCTCAAACTTAGAAACGACGACGGTGGGAACGGGGACGACGATGACAAAGACGATGACGATGACGGGATGATTGGGTGTTTCGAAGGACGGTAGTTCCTTCGTTTATGTATTATACAGGCCCGCGCAAAGGATATACTCGACAATAAGGATCGTAGCCGGTCGAACGCGATCCATACCCCACGAGAGTTAATCGAGAAACGGACGAACTCCTACGGCTTTTATGGCTCCGCTCGTAAAGATATACCCAAGGCTTTTTCCGTGGAACTCGGGACCCCTCCGAACACACCCGGTCCTGGAACACTGGGGCAGAAACGACGACGGAGCGTAGATAGACGGGCGAGCGAGCGAGCGACTGGCTGGTTGGCCAGGTACGTGGTGGTAAAGGTAAAACTCTCGCAAAAGGACGCGAAGCAGCAAACGAGTGAGCGAGCGAGCGAGCGAGCGAGCGAACTGTGTGCCAACCGTGGCAGGTAGTTGCACGCCGGAAAGCACCGGTTGTACAAAGACCGACCCGAAGCCATTTTTGATCCACGATCCTCTCTCTGCTTCCAGCCGAGACCCCGAATTACAATGTGTACTCCCCGTGCGCGCTTCACCGTGGGTGGACCACCTTCTTGGCGAATTTTTCTTAAATCGCCTACCCTCTCCCGATGAATGATCTCTTTCTACGGCAGGCCAGCCCGAACGGCAGGCTTCAAACGGACGGATGGACAGGAGGGAGGGAGCGGAGACGAGGTAGAGAGAACTGCTGTCAGCCGGCGAATGAAAAGCGCTTAAGAAGCTGCGCGGCATGCACCTAACAATGACCTTACCTACCTCTGACGCACGAATTGTTCGTATACCAAAGTACACCGGCTGATTCGGCGGCAAATATAACGTACGTTATTTTACGCTATTCTTTGTACGCGTCTCGTTGTACACCCGGTTTATATACCAAACCACGCTCCATGCCAACCGAGAGCACAACTACTTCTTTATAATTCGTTTCGAGTTACCGAGAATCTTTTTTAGAATCTCGTTTCGACCGAAGATCTTGCGATCTTCCATTCCATTTTTTTTTTTTTATCTATCATTTCTTTACGATTTTTCGTTTATCTTTCAATTATTCGCAATTATTCAATTGGTGATCACGAAGGAATCGGCTGTACGCCGAGTCGTTCGAAGCATTCTTTGGAAATACGATGTAATACGATTGCGTCGAATCTCGGATGGAAAACGTATGGTCGTAAGGGGTTGCGGTTTTTCGATAGTTAAACTCGAAG